TCATATTTTATTTTTTGTTCCTTTCTTAAGATCCTAGCAAAATACTTTGATAATTAATGAGTTTTTAGAGAAATTCAAGATCTAAGGCGAATTGAAAAAGGAAAATTTATAAATATTAAAAATCGAATTTTAATTTTACGGAAATTCATTGTCTCAAGGAAATTAAATTATTTGGATTAAGCGTAGACGGATTTTGTTCACGTCAAGGATGATGTGGATAATTCAAAAGGAAGAAAGGGCATGTGACTAACAAGTGGGGATGGCCCAAGTTCAGCCCATGGAAATGTGGCTGAAAAAATTGGAGCTGCAATATTTAAGTCAATGCTGGGCGCCGCTTCGTCCAAAGGGCTATTCAAATCCCTTTCTTTTTTTTTTTTTTTTTCATGTTAAAAGTATAATTGATTGAATTCAAATCAATATAATATTAAATTTAATATTGAACTCGATTCAAAATTTAAAATTTAACTCGAATTCAATCAAATTTTATTTTTTTAGTTTAAATTCGATTCGAAATAAAAATCGAACTACTCGAATTCATTCGATTATACTCAATTAACATATAAAAATAAACTCGATTTTTATATTCAATAAAAACTCGATTATTTATACTAGAGCTTGTGATATTTTATTAATTAAAATAATAAAAATATATTTAAAATAAAAGTTTGATTAGGCTCGAGCTACTTAAGTCAGGTATAAAAATATTCAAACTCGGTTTGCTCGATGAGTCGAACTATTTGAGTTGCTCGAGCTCCAGTTTAACTCGATAATAATCAAGCCGAATTCAAGTTTTATTCAAATCAAACTATAGTAACTTGCGAGTATTAATATATTATTTACACAAAAATTATTTATTACGAGACTCAAAAATCTTCACCAATGATCTTTCAAGTTCTTAGTCCTTATTATTTAGATTTGATAATTTAAAATATAATATAATAATATAATATAAAAGTAATATAAATAAAAAATAAATATAATATAATTTAAAATTTTAACAAAAATCATAAATAAATTTAACAAAACTAAAAAAATATATTTTATATTTTTATATCGACATAAATTTTAATACATAATTTTCATATAAAATATAATATAAATATATAAATTATCAATATTTTAGATAACATAAATACATAAATTATTAGATCTACTTTTTTTCTTAAAAAATGAAACTTTTTTTTCCCAAATACAATTTTCAATCACATGCTCTCTCTCTCATCAAACCTATCTTTTGCTTTCATATATAGAATTAGAATCAAAGTTGCAATGTCATACCAAAAAATATATATATATATATATATGCATAACCTGCAATCACTTGTCTTAAGCTGTCAGATACGACATATTTTATCCTGATCTGATTGACTGAACAGCCTATCTACTTTTAAAATTTTTCTTATAAAAAACATATATATGATTTTAAAGTTGTATGTATAAAATACGTTACAAATATATGAATTACTAATATTTTTATATAACATAAATACATAAATTATTATATCTACCTTTATTTACAAAAAGTAAAATATTTTTTCCCAAATACAATTTTCAATCACAATCTCTATCTCTGTTCCCAAACCTATATTTTGCTATTGTACCTAAAATTAGAATCAAAGTTGTCAATGTCATACCATAAAATATTTTAATTTTTTTTTTTTTAAGTTGTATGTATAGGTTTTTATTTATTGTTTCATTAGTATCAATTTTTTTTATCTACATGTTTGAATTGTAGAAATATATAGCTAGAAATACATAATAACAAGATTTAAAATATTTATCAATCTAAACAATTTCAAAAATATTTTGTTATGAAGCAAAATTAAAATATACAACATTAAATATCAAATCATCATCTAGATTGAAATTAAAAGTCACTTAATTAGCATGTACTCCATTAATTATTTTAAATATAAAGACTTAGAATTGAAATAAAAAAAGTATTAGCATATAGTGTTATTTGGGGGTTGGCATGATTTGGTCTAAAATACAAAAAGTAGATTTATTTTACACAAAAATCAAATTAATTTTGAACTGGTCTACCACTATTAATTAAATCCAATTCACACGGAACTAACAATCTCTAGTTTAGAACACTATTCTCTTTTTTTTTTCTTTCTTTTAAGTTTTAATTTTTTTTAATTCAACGACAAAAGTTTTTTGAGTTCATTCGATACAACCGTTTTATGAATTGATCTAAATAACTATATTTATATTAAACTTAATGAATTTATAAAAAATTAATTTTTCATATTCTTTTAATGGATTTGAATTTAGATAATAAAAAAATAAACTTTTTTTTACTGCTTGAGTCATCTTTTATAAAATTTAACTTTTAGAGATTTATATAATTTAATTTAATGCTTGTAATAAATATAATATAGGAAAGAAAAGAATTGGGAAATGCCCACTGCAAAAGCAAAAATATGCTATCCATGAAAAACAAATGGTCAGCCCAGAGTTGTAGATCTTGGAGTAGGCAAAATAATGGCTCTATTTTGTAGCATGAAAGTTTAGACCATAGCAAAATTTGGGTCAAGAAGCCTCTTGATGTTTTTTTTTTTTTTTTTAATAATAAAAATCATATAATTTGAAGATAAAAAAAAAGATATTATTTTTTGTTAATATAAATAAATAATAACTATCCATGCTGAACAATATGTAGATATATAAGCCCCAGGGCGAAGCCAATAATTTTTTCAAAGGGCATAAGCCAATCAGCTGCTGGCTACCCATGTACTGGACTTCCTTTTTGATGTGGATCTCTCACCAAATGTCCTGGATTTTCAAGGGATCATTGACCATGATTCTCGTATCACACGTCTGTGGGGTCCCTTTTCACATAGCATTGTTATGTTTAGAAAATGGTCGACCATGGCCATGATCATGAGGACCAATGTGTATGACGTGTAGGGTGGAGATGCAGCTAGAACTAGAAAATAGTCCAAAAATTGAAGAGATAACAATGTAAGGCGACCCGGTACTCCCTGTCGATGTGGGTCGGGATTGCAAAGACATGGACGGTCCGTGCACGTGCAAGGCCTGTCTTCGTGTTTGTCTCAATCAATGCCTTGTTGGGCCCACTTTAGAAAACAATGATTTAGATGATCCTTCCAACCGCCCTAATCTAGCGGCTCCTAATCATTACATCAATACAAAAACCTTCATTATCGACTCTCAATAAGCTTATGAGCCCCATCTTGGAGATCACATCCATATCATATGCATACTTTGGCTCATGTTAGTTATCCAATCATTAATTTAAAAAGTGCTAAACATTTTCTATTATCTTTTCCTTTCGTTTCCTTTTTTTTTTTTTTTTTCTCTCTTTCCAAAAGTAGCGATAGTTTGGGATTGAGAAAAGGTTTTATCCCTTTGTTTTTAAGAAAAATTATTAAATATATTGTTAATATAATTTTTTAAATTTATAAGTAGAATTAATAAGATGATATGTATTTTTTTAAATATATTTTAAAAAATTAATTAAAAATAGATATTTATTATCATATTAACCCTATCTATGTATTAAATAATTTTTATTGTTTTAATCAATTTATGTAATTTAGAAATTTTCCCAATTGTATATAAAATAATAATGGTTAATGTCATGAACAGCTTTTTAAAATATATTGAAATATTTAATAAAATATTTAAAATTTAAAATCTCTAAATAATATTTAAATTATAAATATATTAATTAATATAATATTCACATTTAATGTAACACGTAATAGATAAATAATACTTAAATTATCATATTAGTTAATAAATTAATAGTTTAATATCATATTAAAAATTTTTAAAATTTAAATATCATATTAAATATTTTATTATAATTTAAGTGTCATTTATGACATTACCTTTAATAATAATAATAATAATAATAATCTTATTTAAATATAAAAAATTACCCTTTTTAATTTAAAAAAAGAAAACAATAACTAAGACTTCAATGTGTTGGCTTTAATTAAACACAATTGAAAATTACAACGTAACGAGCTTGTTTATTTCCCTTTTTTTGTACCGTATGTATATATGTTAAGATTTTGTAATCTAATGGTGAGATGTCAAGCTCGTTATTAACTTGTTAATTGATGACAATCATGTATAGTACAATAATATGAGAGAGTGACGTTATGTTTTTGGTTCAAGCATAATTAATGCAATTTCGTTAACACTAGTAATTAAGGGTTAAATTTTTTTTTATTAGAAAAAAATCAGATTTAAAAAAATACATGTAAATATTATTGAATCAAATATTTGAATATAATATAATTACAATTTTAATAAACTATTAAAAAAATTAGTAAAGGGACAAAAAATGAGATTCTATATTAATATAATAAAACCTTGGTCCAAGAAATATAAATTCAAATGCTTCTAAATTTTTTTTAAAGGAGTCCAAATATATTAAATGTTACAAATGAAAAATGATTATATGAGTTAATTAAAATTTTTAATTTTTTAAACTAATAATTAATTAAGATTACGTATAATTTGGGTGCTACTCTTTAGGCACAAACCAACTCCAAACCCATCACTCATAATGGATTTGGCGTTGGAAAATCTCCCTATGTTTTTTATTTTTGGTATATATTAATAGTATATCAACTTCAATAAATTTCAGTAGCTGTTTGGTAAAATGTCAAAACAAATTCTTTTAATTTTTCTCATTTTAGAAGTTCCCAAACGGGTCCTAACATTAGAAACACTGTAGAGTAGTGGTAGAAACAAAAAAAGCTGGGAAAGTCAACAGATTGACGAAGCCGATACGTGGGACATCCTCTTCAATCCATAATATAAAACGATGGCGTTTTAATCCGCTTACGACCCTTACCAGAATCTTCTTCCTCTGATCTGAAATTAGAGCCGTCCGATTGTAAGTGTGATGATCGGATGAGTACAAGACAAAAAAGACAACCCAACCCCACATGATAAAAGGCTTCTTTTTTTTTTTTTATAATAAAAAAATGAAAACAACTTTTAAGCTACTCATTACGTTTACAAACGTTTTACACTTGCGCTGTACACAACCAAAAAAAAAAAAAAAGAACGATCTGAAAAGAAAAGAAAGAGAAAAAGAAAATCTTGGAGTTTTGGTTTTGGTATTTTTTGGGTGTGTTGCTCGCAAAGCACGTATAGTTAAGATTCCTTTTGTTTATTACTGTTGACGTTTGTAAGAAATGTGTTTTGCATTGGATTGGTTTGATCCGTTTGATAAGCTAAGGATGTGGGCTACCGACTGTTGATTTTTGAGGTAACTGCTCTTTCGAGCTTGATTTTGGTTGCAAATGGAGGGAGAGATTGAAGAGCCTTTCGGCATTAATTTTCAGGTAAATCTTCTCTGTCTCTTCTGTTTTTGTTAAGCGTTTGGATTATTTGTTTATTAATGGAATTATTCTTGTTAATTGTGTATTTATTGTAGTGCTTACTGAATAATGTGAGACGGTTTTATGTTTAGAAATGATGAGTCTTAAAGCATAAGTAATTAAATGATAAGCTCATGATGAAGTTCTTGCCATTTAATTTTAGACTAAAACAAAGAGCAAAACAATTAAAGTGTAAAAAAAAAAAAAAGAGAAAATGCTGTTTGGTTCAGTTGATTTGCAAAGTGAACTTGCATCGTATCTTTATTTTGGTTTTAATTTTTGATGCATTTTCTGTTAACAAAAAACAAATCTTTATCAGTTTTTCCCCCTTGGATTATTGAAGTTTAAGCTTCTTAAATCCATGTACTTTTTATCAAGGTTTCAGTTTCCGTTAGTCCACTGGTTGATTTGTTGTAGTTTGATCCTGATCATTGTTCCCTATGTCAATATTTGATGATATAAAAAAGTTGAAAAGATTTACTGAACCTCTTCCTCTGTCTTTAAGATCCTTTCATTATCTGTTTCGGTTAATAAATTTCTAGCTTCTTTTCCTTTTCCATTTTTATTATTATTTATTTTTTGCTATCAACACTTTCCATATAGCATAAGGATCCGCATTTGCACCAGACTTGTTATCCTTATGGGGGATAACAACTAATAATCACCATTCACACTTATGGATACATTAGTTTGGACCCTAAACATTGGAAAGTAATCTAGAGGATCTGAAGGAAGGATGTGGAGAAGATGAATGCCTATTTTAAAATAAGAACTGCTTGTTATCTTTTATATCGTATTTATTTTAGCCACTGGTTTTGACACCAACAGATACAATTATAGGATTATAAGTGTTTGTTATTCCTTTTTAAATTTCAAATTGGCTATGTCACCAGTTTTCTGCCATTAGAAAGTTCTATTATCTTATTAAAATCTATAGAAGATTGTTATTAGCTATAATGACTTACAATATCTCAAGTGCCTCCCTATAGCATTTCAAGTGCTGATGAAATTTGACCTTGCTAACCTCTATTATGAGTTTCCGATCAGTGAACTGGCTCAGAAAATACAATTTACTTTGCACATAGCAGATAATTTGTCCGCATATTTCATTTATTTTAAATTCTTCTTTTTTGAACTGGGCAGGCAGAATCTTGGCATTCTGGTTCTATATCATTTGGAAGATTTGAGAATGAACCTCTAGCTTGGGAAAGGAGATCCTCTTTCTCACACAATAGGTATCTTGAAGAGGTTGAGAAATGCTCAAAACCGGGTTCAGTTATTGAGAAGAAAGCTTATTTTGAAGCTCACTTCAGGAAGAAGGCACTTCTTCTTCAAGTTTCATCTGGGGGCCAAAATGAAGGAGAAGATCAAACCTGCGAGAGTGATGTCGTGGAGAATGAGGGTTACAGAGAATATCAAACTGGTGAGAATGATGCTGCAGAGAATGAGGGTTATGGAGATGAATCTGATAGTATAAGTAAAGGTAGCCATTACAATCATTTTGATGAGAATGGCTTGGATGATGTGGATTATGGGGGAAGTTTTTGTTATGGAAATGAAGGGAGCCTATTTGATCATGGAAATGCAGGGAACCAATTTGATCATGCAAATGAAGGTAGCCTTTGTGCCCACTTTGACAAGAGTCCTGAAGATTCAGATTATCTTGGTGAGAGTGTGTTGATTGAATGTGGAAGAGAATATCCTGGAGTTTTATCCGCCCGTGAAACTCATGTTTTGGTCCCTGGAGATGTTAAACTTGAGGAAACTCATCAAAGTGAAATTGGATGTGATAAGCCACTTATAAGCAATGATAAGCCAAAGAAAGAAGTAAAAGAAAACTTTTATGAAGATTCAGTTAACATTGATGAATCAACTAAGCCCTGGGATACATCCCCCAATACTGGACCCACTAGGGAAATTGTTACTACTAATTTTGAAAATCTGCAAAATGATTCTTCAAAGGTCTGAGTTTATATTTATATTAGTTCTTGTCGAAAGAAACAAATTACAATATTGGAAGGACCAAAATCAAAATTCTGAAAAGCAACAATCATGCAGTAGCTAGAAACTTGCTTGCAATTGTTTTCTAATGTGATGTCTGTATTTCTTGTTATCTCTTATCTTTATTGATAAGCATGCTTAATTTTATCTTATTTTTGCCTCCTCGTGGCTTATACTCATTAATTTTTTATTCTAGTTGAAGCCTCCTATTGAAAATAAAGCTACCAAACCAAGGTTGAAGTCTCCAGTGATTCCTGATCATTCCCAGAAGAACATTTCTCGTGATCCTTCAAAAGTACCTGCAAAATTTCAGGTAAGAAGTGAAAAAGAGATTACAGGGAGAGCAAAAGCAGAAAAACTGCCATTACAAACCGTCACTCCAACTAGATGTTCAATGCACAGATCTCCAAAAAAAGAGGTGAAAGTTTGGACTTTGACTTAAAGCTTAATAAAAAAAAGAAACATCTTGTAAACAACATTTTTATTACCCTAGTTTTTATTCTCTATTTAGCATTTTAATTAAGACTTCATGCTGCTATTTGAATTTCCTTTTCCTTGGTCTTTTTTGCCCAGGATTCTAAAAGAGCCAATGCAAAATTAAGTGTTGAGAATAAAAGGTGCGTATTAATTTTTGCATTTTAACAGTACATATGTTTCATTTGGAGGGACATTTCACATGATTATTTCGTTCTTGTGACAGTATTAAAGGACCAATGACAAAGAAAGTAATTGAAACTCAATCTTCTTCACCTAAGAAGATTGAACTTGTTGCTCGCCTGACACTGAACAGGTGCGTACAACATCATGGGGATTGCTTTATTGCATCAAAGTTTTGGCTTTTAAACCTTAATAGATTGTTTTTTTTTTTTCGTAGGTTTAAGCAGACTGTCAATTTAACTAAGGCAGATGGAAAGCCGAGTGCAGGAGCTTTCCAATTCAGAAGTGGTGAACGAGCAGAAAGGAGAAAAGAGGCAAGCAAGCATGATGTCATTCCAAATCTTTGTTATTCTTTAGTTTAAGGTATACACTTTAATGTCTTCCTCTGTTCTTTGTGACTCATTGGTTTCAGTTCTACATGAAATTGGAAGAGAAACTGCATGCCAAAGAGGTTGAGTTGAACCAAATTCAAGCAAAAACACAGGTATGGGAAGCATATGCATATTCAGAATTTACTATTTTAAATAAAATATGAATTGATTTTTCCTTATGTGCTTCCCTGTTAGTATTTGAAAAGGACTGCTCTGACATTTCTAGACTAATGGATTGCTAAATAAATAAATTGAATGCTTTAGTCGCTGTTATTGCAGGAAAAGACAGAGGCTGAGATTAAGCACTTGAGAAAAAGCCTTCATTTCAAAGCAAAACCCATGCCTTCTTTCTATCATGTTGCTGCAACACCAGGATCTACTGGAAACAAGGTATAGAAGCTCAGCTATTGCTTGATTTTATGATGCACCTCATATGTGTTCAGATGTGATTAGTGTACATCATAGAAGAGCATTCAGGCATTAGTTCATGTGTAGCTTGGAGGAACTCATGTTGACTTGTAAATCATACTCGAGCCTAATAGCTTTAGGTTACTCATTCATTTCTTATGTAATTATCTTAAAAAGCTCAATATTTTTTACATTGCATGCGGAATAATCTATTTACTTTTATGAAGCAATAGCATTAAAAGATAGAGCATATATATTTTGTTCTACGCACCATTATTTTAGGCTTTTGGATCTTTAGTGTTTTGTTTTCAAAAGTTTTCCTCATGTTTTCTGCTGGATGTCTCAACTCTCATGTTGGTTTAAGAAACTTCCTTGTTCTTAGACCATTCTTATATAATATGTAGAATTTGAAATGATTAGAACTATCAAAAGTTAATATTCAGAGAAGGGAAAAATAGATACACTTTGGTTGATGACCGGAGAATTACAAGGTTGAGTGAGCACTAGTACCTTAATCCTTGTTCTTAATCTATCTCAAGGACAGAGGGTGCATCTCTTTGATCTTCCGAGGTTATTTTGTAACCATGGAGCATGTATTGTTACTGAATACTAATAGAGCTTTGGAATGCTCCAAGAGTAACAGCTAATGTGTGATACATATTTTGAGCATCATATTTTAAATGATTTTAATATCTAAGCGTCTTATCAATATGGGAACACTGAAATACATTCTATATGGTTTAACATTTATGCATGGTTTTGTCCTTTCAAACTAATTCTTTATTTTGATTGTCACTCCAGTATACAATATGTACATGTGTATGCATGTAAGTATGTTTGTGTGTGTATTAGACCAGACAAACTGTTTTTTGGCCACCTCCAATATATGATATAAGATGCTTAATTTGCCTTTACTCCTTTGATAGGAAGTTGCGCTTATATACCTTAGTATTGGACCTGTATATAATGCCACTTTTTCCTGTGATTAATTGTCCTTGATATTCCGAGTCCCTCATTTTATATTTTTGTTTCATTTGTCAGTGGATTTAACTCTGGCTTTCTTCTATTTCGATGTCAGGCTGCATCCTCTACTATGAAACCAGCTAAAGTACGACAGAAGTCAGCAAGTCCAGGGATAGGACCAACTCCAAGATCACCATCACTCGCCAGGGAAGCAAATAAACACGTCCTTTCTGCTAGTGAATCTGTAGGTGAGTTGGACTGTCCTACAGTTGAGTCATCTCAAGCTGGCACCTTATCTTCGACTCCACCAACTGATAGTCTCAGCTCCCTTGAATCTGTGACACAAAATGTGGTCCTTTCAAAGAAAGAGCGAGGGAAAGAGAGCAGTAATTTTCCCAAACATCGATTATCGGAGAGTAGTAAGGTTATAAAAGATCATAAGATTGGTGGCGGGACAAAAGTGGGAACCCAGAGAAATAGCAGTGAGATGGTGAGGAAGAATATTAAAAGTGCTGGAATTGCCAGTGGTTCTAGAATTGGCCGTTTGGCAGTTGTGGCTTCCTGAAATGATCTGCCATGGTGTTCCATCTTCTCCTTTTCTCCTTTCCAATTTGGCCTAGGCTGCCAACAGAAGTATCCTCGATTCTAATCACGAGTTGCCTTCAATGCACTTTGAATTAAACTGTACCCGGAGTGTCATGGTGTCAGGTTACATTGAAATTCATATTTCATGCAGCAGTAGAGAAGTAGCAAGGCCAATAATAGGTTGTTGATAGTAGTGTATTCCTCCCTTTTAGTTACTTTCGTTACTCAAAACAACTTAAATTATGCTTTGTGGAATGCAACATTTAGCTGGAATAGTCAATTAATAAATGGTGGCCCTGTTTGATACTTGAAGGGTTCTGTATCCTTTACCAAGATATGCGAGTCATATTGTATAATTTACATGTAATAAGTCTCCCTCCGATATCATTAACTTGAAAGAAAATCATAAATCAAATTAATATTACAGCAATTTGATTGTGATATTCCTGATCTTTGAGTCTTCGTGCAAGAATGGCTGTCATCCAAAATAGGTGATGCACGCAGAACGGTTAGGACAAAACGGGTCAAAGAGTAAGTGCCGGGGCCACCGCACTCTTTGATTCCTTTGTCTTTCACTAAATCACCATTTTTCCACAATTTTTATTTTATCAGCAACTAAAAACACACCCCAAACTCTTTTTTAATTCCTCTCAATTAAACATTATTGAAATTAACATGGCTTAAAAAAAAATAATTTACACAAATTTTCACTAGCTAGTTTCCTAAACTAGAAATAACTAGAAAGGTAAATACAAGAAGATTTGTGGTTGCATTACAATCATGACCAGTAATGATTTTCCCAGACTATTTGTTGTTGCTGATGACTGGTCGTCTGTTTGGGTTTGGGAGGAGGTTCCCTATGGTAGAATGAGAAACAAGGCAAGATAGGTTCAGGAGGGGGCTGACCATAAGAATTACCATAAGATGGTGGAGGGTAGGACGTCCCCAGTGGAGTGTATACTCCTGATTGTGCACGTGGTGAATAACTAGCCGCAGGTGTTTGAGTGACTGTGCCGGTCCCGGTGACACCCACCACCGGTGCATGTTGGTGGAGGGTCACATGGGTTTTCTTGCTTGGTTTGAACAAAGAAGCTGAGAATTATGGAGGCAAAAACGAAGAAGGTAGTGAGAGTTTAGTTAAGTACTGTGTTGGCCATGTCATAGAAGGGAAAGAGGAAATATAGAGGGATAGAGTTTAGGGAAGCAAAGAAAAGTAGCCATGAGAGAGTGATATATGTAGGCTGAAAACTTCATCATTGAAATAGTTTTGAAGTAGTTTTTTTTTTTTGTCGAGTCTCGAAGTTGGAAAAAAAGAGCCGATAAAAGGATTGAAAAGTAAGGTCCCGTTGAAGGTCTGAAGTTCTTATGGATGTGTTTAGTGTTGAAAAATACTTTTGAAAGTAAAATTATTATTTTATTTTTATAATTTTAAATTTTTATTATTTTATACATTTTTTTAAACATTCAATGCATCAATAATACTTTTTTATAACAATAATAAACATTTAAAATTTTTAAATCACACTTTAAAATATATATTTTTTCCAATTAAAATTTTCTAAACCAATGTCAAATTAGGGTAAGTCCTACCTACTTGCTGTCTCCTATGTTCAGTTGATCAAACAGGGCCAAATTTTTTCTGTTCAAAAATCCTTTTAGCTGTTGGAAAGGAAAAGGACAAAAAAAAGTCACATTTGGACCCATGCATTTTGAAACTTGGCAGTGAAGGCTATGCTCTGAAGTATGTTTAGAAAGGGCATTGAATTTGAAAAAGTTAATTATATTCTTTATTTGAATTTTTTAAAAAATAGATAAATTAAAATATACAATTTACGCTATAGAATTTTAAACAATTTATAATTTATATCATAAACTTTTAAATTATATATTATATTGATCTAAATTTTAATTTTATTAATTATATCAACTTTTATATATATATATATATATGATGTCTGATGAATATTATTAAGTTACGTATTCATCAACAATACTATTAATATTTTTTTAATATAAATTAAAATAGTTTACCTAAATTGTAATTAAAATTATTTAATATGCATCAAAAATTTTTTTTTATCATGTGATGTTCACATAATGCAAAATATTTAGTATTTTTATTTAATAAATAACATACATATAATAAAATTATATCAATATATAAGATATAAATGAATTAAAATAATAATATTAAAATTAAAATTAAAATAATATATTATTTTAAAATTTAAGATACAAATTATATATTTTATCTTTTTTAACTTTTAATTTATATAATTTTTTAAAATACAAGCATCACAAGTCCAATTGGCTCAATTTGAAAGTTGAAATTTGTGGTAGCTGTCTCAAATCTGAAGAGCTCAAAAAGGTTCAGCTTTGATGGCGTTCGTGACAAGCCTACACCTCAGGATGACTAAAACTAATAAACGATAATTTTATCTGATACCACGTGAAAATGAAAGCATGAAATTTGATGACTCTTTTTATTTTATTTTTGCTTACTTTAGAAGTCTGATGCAAACCCTCTTCAAACTCAAACCTCGTGTAAGCTCGTGTAAGAAAGAAATATAACAAAAAGAACGGGCTGGAAAAGTGTGGAGTTTGAGTGAAATTGAAGTGTATGCCAAAATCCTACATCAAAACTCACTACATATTTTCGTCTTATTGGCCACATAAAAAATTGGGTATTATTTTCTTTTTAAGGCTTAAAATTATTTGTACCAATAATTTTTTATTTAAAAATAGAGTTCAAATCTTTCTTTTCAAACGTAAAATAAAATAAAGCGTCGTGAATTTGAGATTTTTGTTAAATTTCATGCGTTGGTGGACAAAGGGTTTTGATTTTTTTTTTTAATTTTGCTTTAATAGTGCACTTTAAGCACTTGTTTTAATGTATAGTGCGGTAGTTGTTACAACTAACGATGATTCCAATGAAACATTAAAAATTTAGACCCTTCTTGTATTTCTTTTATTATTAAATCCCTTGAAACTTGAGTTTGATGAAGTTCATTATTTGATTAAAAGATCCTAAACGTCCAATCCAAACACGTACCTAACATTGAAGCTCAATCGAACCCTCCTAACATTGTTGAACTGTACAAATAGATTCATAGAATGAAATTTTATCTATACAAAGAGAAATACAACTCTCTTCCATCGATCCTATAACTTCAGACATTTTTCTTTATATATATAATTTGAACCTGAAATCTTAAAAAAAAAAAAAAATCTAGCTAAGAAATGAAGATGATTATCGCCCTAATAGTAACATGTTGGTCCAACAAAAAATTATAGAGTGGAGTCCAATCTAGAGAAATGAAAACTTTTGCCTAACATGGTCATGATGAAATCGAAGCTGATCTCATCTACTCCCACTCACAACGACTCTAACTGTGATATACCATCTGTCTTGTTTAATTGATAATCTTTAAAAGGATTTAACCCTTTTAAAAAATATTAGAAACCTTTTATTTAAGATGCGTTTGGTAACTGTGTTCAATTAAAAATAAAGATGTAGTGTGATGAGAATACCTCTTCAGTAACACCATACGGATGTTTCAAACAGCTTTTTTTTTTTTTAAATAACCGTAATTTAAAAATAAAAAAATTAATATACTGAAGTAAATTAATTTTAATAAATAAAATGTGAATAATAAAATATATCAAATTGAATATCTTGAATTGCTTTGTTCATTGTAAAAAGAGATGCCTGTGGATAACTGATAAGTTGCCTAATATTTGATTGTTCATTCTTATAAGATTTTCTCGAAGTATGATTGAAGTTATCAAAATTGTCTTATTATCACAAGTCTCTCTGCTTACTTATTTCTTATTCACCAAGTCAATCAAGTTTTTAAATGATATCTAATCTTTTTTATTCATTTAAATAAAAAATTTTAAATGTAAAAATAATAATTTATCATTACTATTTAAAATTGACAAAAAATTAAATCATTATCATGGAAACTAAAAATCTAATGTTTTACTAATAGCTGGGGGGTGCTTCTGCTCTGCTTTGATCATCCATCCCCAATTCCCTCATAATTATTATTGAAATCTATCAATTAACAAAACATAAATGTCTCCTATTTCTCAATTTTAAAGCTCTTCTCATTTTGGAATCTGGATAGCCATTAATTCTTCAGAGTTAAAACCCAGAACCATATTGTTCAAACTTTGACATATATATTAAGTTTCGAGCAGAAAATGAAATAACAAGTGAAAATCAGGTCAAATAATGAGGAAAATTTTCTAAATTGTTATTATTGGACAATATCAAGATACAGCAATACAGCAAGTACAAAAACTAGTAGGTCCTAAAACTTTCTCTTTAAAAAAAAAGGAAAAGAAAAGAAAATCATACTTACTATATCCAAATTCTTGCACAAGATCTTAGGACCCTCCAATTTCAAATTAATAGTATCCCATTCAAAAAGCTAGAAGGATCAAGAATCCGCAAACCAAAGACAATAACCCCAGTGGCAAATCCCTGCTTGCACCCCCGAAGTTTTGGTCAATAGGGTACAGGTTGCCTGGTGGACTGGTTATGTATATAAAGGATGGAGGACTAGGTGGTGGTGGTGGACAGTATTGGGTTGGCTGCTTTTTCGGTGTAGGTGGTGGCAATGCAGGTGGTGATGGAGGTGGAGGGCATGGTGGCGGTGGCGACGGTGGTGGAGGACTTTGTACACATGATGAGGTACACTTGACGCCTTGATCACCTGGTGCAGTGCTCTCATCAAGCTTCCTGGATTCCGAACCTTTGATGGGATATGCAACAGTGGCGGTTACAAAGATTATGGTTAGTGTTACAATTAGAGGATCGAAACGGTTCGTTTTAATCGACATCGTAGTGAATCCGATTGCTGGAACTCCTTTTTTTTTTCAGCTCAGATGAGGAAATATTGATCTCTTAGACAGAAGAGAAGGGATGAGGAGTTTGGAAGAGCTAGCGGTGTTATTACGTTGTTGGGTGCATGAAAGACTTTGAAAAGCTAAAAAGTGAATTGGGATGCAAAGAAAGCTAGAATTTCAGGGGGCAAAATGGAGTGAATGAGACGTATTCTTAAGGGCTTTCTTTTTTGCTACCAAGGAAGCCTGGTTGCCTTGTGTAACAAGGGAATCCAATTGCATGTGAGAATCATGGAATGATCCAAAAAGGAGCGTCCAACCCCCACCATTTACACTTTCCCACTATTTATTTAAATTGTTAGAAAAATGGGTTCTTGAAAATTTTAATCACTGCACGCTTATGTACGTATTTCATAAATAGTTTTATAGTCTTTGGAAGGATATAAATGATTGATTTGAGTAGACGAAAAAGATAAACTATCAAGCACGAAGTTTTCCTTACTCCAAAAAATTTCGCTTGCAAATGTATATTATTTTATAGTATTTAATCATGTGTACAGCCTAAACAGTTTTAAGACAATTCGCTTCAATAATTATTGTTTGATGATCATTAAGTCTATTTTTTTATTAAGATATTATAATTTAAAAATAAAAAAATTATAGGTGATGAAATTTAAATTAACTCTATTATATGTTACATTTTATTAATAATTGAACCGCAATTGAAATAGATCATGAGTTCAATAAACCTACTTTGGAATGCTTCATATTGTGCACATGATTAATGCATTAGAAAGAAATGTCTAGTAATCGAAGTTTTTATAAATATATATGTGGGATACCAATCAAATCCATAAAATAAAAATGTTTAGCACAATCCAGCATGCAAAAATATTTCTTCTATTTTAACAAAAGAAAATTTTCATTTTTTATTTAAAAAAAAAAGAAACTGAAAATGGACTTGAAGCCACCGTAGAAAGAGGTCAAAGAGTCCACTAATTTGGGGCTTGGATTGCATATGAATTTAATGGGATTTTGAGCTGTGTATGATTTGATCTTAAATAGTACATCAAATACAGAAAATGAATTGTTTGATTCTTTGCCAAGAGGGATATATACACATTGAGGTCAAAATCAGTAGGCTGGTGGGTGAGAGATGGCTATCAATTGCAACAGCTCTTTGCATCACAGAAGTATTGTACTTATTTTTTATTACTACAATTTGCTTTATAATTTGTATAGTAGTTGTTTATCTGCAGCATAAGGTTTATTGGCAATGATGGGAAAAAAAAAAGACAACATAAAGGAAAATGAAAATAATTGAATATGAAAAGTTTGAACAAATGGTCGTCGCCCATGGGAAAGCATAAGAAAACAAACAATTGTCAATATCCCCACCCAGAAGACTACCCCTTTTAGTTTTTGTTATTTGCTTTTGGTTTTGTATTATTCTTTATTTTATATTTATTTTTATATAAAAAAAAATCAAATGGACAGATAATAATTAGCAATAGAAGCAAAGGTGAATCCATGTTGTTGGATAGGATGCCCATGAACACTCATAAAATTGAAAAATAAAAAAATTTAAAGAAAATTTTTTTGCTGAGCATCTAAAAATTTTTCTCTAAAAATTTTTTTGATAAAATTTATAAATCGTAGATAATTTTATATATTATAAGTGGATATCTTAAAAAAATTTGAAATCTGCCACTTAATAAAAGTAAAATTATTTTGCAATTGGTAAATTGAGATGAGGATTTTTTTTTTTTTTGTTTATAGTTTCTTTGAACATGAAACCTAACCTACTTAGATTTATAGATTAATCTAGTGGGAATAGGGGACCAAAGAAGAGGGTTGAGAGTAAGTGGACATAATCGTGAAGAAAGGGAAGCAAAAGGAGAGCAAAAAAAGTTGGGAAAAAAAATGGAATGCCCACCGGAAGATGAGTGAATAAGAAGAAATTGTTATTTGTTAATTACTTGTTAATGATAAGAAAGGCCACCGTCCCATTTTCTTAAAGCATCTGCCACCCATTTTGTATGCATACCTTCCGCTCAACTTCCCTAAAATCATACAAAATTAACTCCAAAGCATTGCTTTTGGAACCTTCCTATATGCCATTTAAAATACAGATACTCATCGTTTCAATGATTGAGGAGACCCAGCTCAAAATTTAAGGCTTAAGCCTTGAAAACAAGGGACTGTAAAAGGTTTTATTGAAGTTTTTGATGAGGCTGACCCAATTTATTACATGAATGGGCTGTTTAAAATCAAGCAAGTTGGTGGGGATTTGGTCAGTGGGATTGTTGGGCTCATATGTTACTCTGAAGTTCAAACACTGCGTTCTCCGTTCAACTTTGCCCATGCCGCCTTTAGTCAGCTAACATGTTTTAAGGCTCAGAGTGACGAGATTGGTTTTGATAAAAAAATAATAAATGTTATTATAGCTGTATTAATTGAAAAAAAAAGTATTGCATTTGTAATTGAAAAAAAAAATTCAATAAAAAATTTATACTGAATAGATTTTATTAAAATTAATATTTGAATTTAACTAATAATGGATGAGTTGAATCGCATCGCATCGAAAGTACGGTGAAATTTAAATTTAGCTTAAATTTTTTACTTATCAGCATTCAAAATATTATCAAGATTGTGAAATTAATGCTAGGTTCGTTAGTATAACAGCTCTAAAGCAGTCGAGGGAAGCATACTGAAAAAACACAGAGAAGAAATCAATTTCGGAAAAAACACTTCATTCGCATTTTGCTGAACGACACTGTATGATAGTGAACACAAAACAATAGTATGAGCAAAGTTTTACAGATGCAGTGTAGAACTGTAGAACCCTAACCACTCTGATCCAGCTGCTCACAATAGCATCATGCCATGGCAAAAGTGAAAGTCCAAATCCCAAATACTAAACATCAGTCAACAAAATCTAACAAGCGTGACCATCACCATTCATTCTAGGCTTGTTTTCCAGAGATTTGAGAAACTGAAAATGATTCACATTCATCCGCGTTAATTAAAGGAGTAACTTCAATAACTAATGCTTTCATACATATTGGGCCCCGTATACATGTGAATGTCTATCACTCATCCTATTCGAATCCCATTTTGTCCTATTTCAGCTACCATGAATCTTCAAATGATCCACAAAACCATGAAGATGGCTGAAATCCTTGTGCCACATCCCAGAATATTTTCTGTAGCTTCTTCCTTAAGGCTGCAAATGTATTACCTCTTACCTCGTTTGCGCCGTGAGAGAGATCATTTCCGCTACAAAATCTAAAAAGCCCTGCCAAACAAAATATTGTTCATTCAATTTTAAGCAACTATTGAAAAGTGAAAGGGAAGGAATACCAAACTTTCGAAAAAAGAACAAATACCTCATCATCTTCAGGATCATATAATCCTGCATCGTACAGAGTTCTCTTCCTCTGGTCTGATAAAACTGCCAAAAGAAAAAAAAAATTGAAGTTATAACAAACTGGAATTAACCAAGCTAATATACAACAAAACCAGTAAGGCAAGTTAAGCTGGAATATTGGGTGATAAAAGGTCCTAGTCAACTTGCTTACCCGAATAGGCTTCCTGAATTTGCTGGAATTTATACTTAGGTTCACCCAATAGAGAAGCTGTTCTCGTCCGCCTATCCGGATGCCAATGCTGCACCAACATATGCACAAAAAAAAAAAAAAAACCCATAAGTTCATGTTGTTCAAACTGCTTCAAAAGTTGTTGTCAACACGGCACCAAAAGCCAAAAATTACCCCTAAACGAATCGTATCTTTGTTCCTGACAAAAAAAAGAGCTTACCATTGCAAGCTTTTGATAAGCACGCTTGATATCTTCAGTAGAAGCATCCACCTTGACCCATAGAACTTCATACTAGGATGGTAAGCCTTTTTCAGCCTCCATCATCACCGACCCAGTTTTTGTTTCCAAACAGGCATTAAAAAACCCAATATTTGAGAAGCAGTGCTGGAAACTGAAAACCTCAAGGTCTATGAATGTTGTGTAATATTCTTTCTTGGTGTTAAGCAAAAGGAACGGGCGACCGGGGGTTTATATAAAGGAAAGGAACATAGATCAGTAGAGGAAGAAAATACCTGAGCTGAAATGAAATAGTTTCATTGATTCGGATTGGTGTTTAACTGAACTGAAGGGGAATCGGGAATGTTGGGGAACAAGTTCGTTCTTTCTTTTTTCTAGCCATCGAGTGGAATGTGGACATGCGAAGAGGAGATTTTGTTTGAGAGGGAGATATTTTGGAAGCTTGGTTCTCGAACATTTGTGTTTATGACTTTATGAACCATACATTAATTGTTGAACAAAATGTTCGGATGTTAAAATTAAACTCAGATGAAATGGTGAATCAGCTTTAACTTTTGATTTGTTAATAATAATTTTCTTCATACTAAAAGAAGTCAATTTCGATGTAACAAGTATATTACATATGTTACAATAAGCTATTGCAACACTCTTCAGCACTCACTAAATTAAGAACAAATATTTACCATAAAAAAGACATTACAATTTGAAAGTGAATTCAGAGAACATATATATACGTACCTTGGGAGAGTTGTTTTAAATTTTATCCTTGAGATGTTGAATTCCATGCAAATGCCTTGTCAAATGTACAGTCCCTTGCTTATACCTCACTTTCGTTGTCTGTTTCGACCTCAAAATTTATCTTTTAATTACCACTTAATTTGATTTCTGCCATCAATAGCTCTACAAATACCATATCATATATATATATATATTTGTGTGTGAATTATAGTATGAAAGTCAGAAACTCAAAATTTATGGGTCATTGTTGGTCAAAATTTGGAAAAGAAATCCGTATGCATAACCAGTAGGATAAAAGGTCAAAAGGCGAAACTCACATTTAATCACACACCTTGCAAGCATCCACCCAACAGATAAGAAATTATTACAACCAAGCGTGTTTTTTTTTTCCTAAAACAAAAAACCGTCTTAAGCATATTCGGTCATACATACAAAATTATTTACCAAATTAAAGTCATGACACTTTCTCATTTCTCAATAAAATAGAAGGAAATATCTTCTATATAAAATCTCTAGAAACTAAATGATTGAACCAAAACATTTAATCTGCTTAAAGAAAACCTAGAGTCGACGATCACAAGTAACCATCTCC